ACTTTCTCTTTCTCGAAAACTCTCTTTCTGGCCGCTCAGTCATGGCTTCTCTTGACCCCAGACTTAAATGTCAATGTTCCCCAAGATGCTCTTAATCTTGTTTTATAGGGATCCAAGATGAAATGCCTACATGGGCCACAGGGGTGGGCCATGGCCGGACTTTGGCAAACTTTGCTTATCTAAAGGCAGCAGACTCAAACCAGTTCCAACAAGTTGTCGCGATTAAAACACACAGGCGCGCGTGGACCCAAGGGTTCCAGATCTTCCAATTTTTCAAAGACAAAAATCCAAATTTTCCCACAAAATCTTTTCCATGTCAGCAGCTCATTTAAACTGTTGAAATACAAGATACGTGACCTTGAGCAAGTTATTTTACAAATCTGTTTCCTCATCTATAACGTGTCAATGATAAACTCACACACAAACAGTGAATGTCAGACAAAACATTTTTACAGGCTTTCATTTTAATGTCTGCTCTACATCTACCCCAAGATTAGATTATTCCAAGTTTCAAGCAAATGTATAGAACTGTGAATAGGCATAAATGCATTTTACTGGAGAAGGGGCCAGAAAGATCATCAGGTTCCCAAAAAAGACTAAGAACCACTGACTAAACCAAATTTTTCTAATTCTACAACTTCAGCTGTTATCTATACGAGGATGGTTCCCAAATCTACATCCGTCAACCTATGAAGACCGCTTTTTACCTCCGTAACAGCCTCTCCACTGACTTCTCTCCATCTCCACTGCCACCTCGTTAGTCCAAACCTTCAATCTCTTCTCAGCAGCTGTCTCACTTGCCCTCCTTCATTCCACTTTTTGTACAATTCAAATCTTCTAAAATGCAAATAATTTATTTGGCCAAAGGCCTACATAAATGTAAAATGAATCCAAATCCCTTGGCCTAAGTACAAACTCCTTAGGACCTGGTGAGGCTGACCACTCCCTCTCCCATTATAGATTCCTACTCCCCCAATTCCTACAATTTGCAATACAGAATACTCCTTTGTCCTTAGGCATTTATTAGTACTTGCAGGTCCCACCTCCTGGAATGCCTTTCTAACTCCTCCCATTCGCTCAGGGCAGAAATCCCCCCCTGGAAAATGCTAACTGCTTGCCCCTAGGCCAGAATAAGTAGGTTTCCTTCCTCCAGGCTAAACTATCCCTCACCATTCAAAGATGTAAATGTCAGCTTTATTTTTCTTCTCCACTAGACTAAAAACTCCTCAAGGGCAGACAATGTGTCTTTTTATTACAAGGCCCAGGGCTACCACTAAAGAAGCTAATCTGTTAAATGAATGAAACACCACTGGCTTCAGCAAATCCTACCCATCACCTCAGATAAACATCCTACCCTCCCAAGGTGAGCCTACTAAAGCCACAGACTACTCAGCCCTTCAAAGCCATGCAACACACACAGCTGCAGGCAGATAACTTCTAAACTTCTAGAGTTTAAAAGGAGCTAGAAGTAAACCCACCTTCTCTGCCCACTGGTGTACTTACCACTCCTTTACATTTACCAACTCACAGAGTTCAACGACAGAGAAGAGGCTAACATCAAGCTACTGAAACTTTCTATGAATATACTGCTGATTTTTACTGGCACAAAAATATTTATTTGCCCCATGAAAGTAATTATTATATCGTATCTGTACTCAAATATGTATTAGTATTAATATATGCTGAGTCAAGCACTCATTCACAGTGAAAAATTCACATCGAGAATATTAAAAAATCTTTAAAGGAAAATATTATATAAAGGTCACGCGCCCGGCACCACTTTAAAGGCTTTATGTGCAATTCCTCATTTGATCATCACAGCAACCCTATGAAAAGTGTTATCACCCCCTTTCACAGATGAATAAACTGAGACTTAATGAGAGTAATTTACCCAAGTTACATAGGTAGAATTCAAAGCCAATTTGTCTCCACAGCCCAAGCTTTTAAGCAATACAAAACTATACAACACTGTTAAATGGAAGATCCTGAAATTATGCGGTATGCACATACAATCACAAAATAGGGAAAAACACACACACACACAACAAAATGTTAACAATGGTTATCTCCTGAATGGGATGAATATGAGCAAATATTACCTTTAGTCAGAAAAATAGCAAACAAACGAGAAATAGTATAGACGGTGCTAATAGAAAAGTAGAGTGGGCTAGGGGAATTAGGAGCCAAGCACGTGGGCTATCTCATCTAATCTTTACAACAAAAAGAAGTTATTTCTGTTCTATAGATAAAGGCTGAGAACCTGCCCAGTGGAAGAACTGGGATCAGAACCCAAGGCCCAGCCCAAATACGGCTGACGGCAGGATACTATGCTACAAATAAAATGCGACCAAAAAGCTGTCTTAAAACCAAGTCACATTCTGGGAAAGAATCAGAACCAAGTAGCCTGGCATCTTAAGTGCAAGGAGGGGAAAAAAGGGAGACCTAAGGTTTTCATTTTAAGCTGATCAAAAGTAACTCTTCAAGTGTCCCCAAAAAGCCAGGACCAGCCATTACAGTCAGGGTTCTGGAACAAACTCATACCTAAAGGAAGTGGGGAGGAGACTCCACTGCTGTTTGTTTTGCAAAGCACAGAGTCGCATTAGCATAAGTTAAATGGACTTGGATGGGACACCATTGTATAGGCAGTGGAGTATCTCCACTGGGGACAATTTGCTGCCTCCACCCCAGTCTCACCAATTCATCCATTGTTTACAAGTTACCAGGTGTGTGTGGGGAGACACGGAGTGCTACCTGTCTCAGAATATTGCTGTTAACTGTATTCACATACAAATATCTCTCATTATCAATAACTACTGTTCCAAAGCTGGATAGTGAGAGCTACTAACCCTGGGGAAACATTTCAGGTAAGAATGAATGGATCAGCATTTTTTTTTTGAAATGACATGTTTAATTTTGGGTGCTCTGACTTGGAAATTTTTAAATCCATCTAAACTATAATTTCATTTCTCTAAAAATAGTACTAACATTACTCACTGAGAAAAATGGTTGGGGTAGGGTATACAAATTTCCTTACACAATCTTTTGGAGGAAAGAAAATGATTACTTCAGACTTATAAATGAAAATTAAACATCTGTTTTTGAAACTAAATATTTAATAGTGAAAAAGTATATTACCTCAGCAACTTAAAATTCATTCAATTTTGCCTTGAAAGTCTTTTCTTAGTTTCACATACCATGTATTTGAAAACCACCATTCCTTCAAAAATAAAGTAGCCCATGGGGTGATTAGATCAGGAAAGATGTGTAGGCCAGGGAGTTCAAAACTTTTGGGATTTGTTCATATACAGATTTTGAAAGTCTGGGAATATGACGCCAACAATATACCTTAAAAATATCAAATTATGAGGCAAAGAGATTTTTTTAAACCTTAAAATGTCTAAGAGACTCATAGACTGATTTCTTCCATCCAATATGCTCCAAAAATAAGGACAAGCTATAACAGAAGTAATAATTTTGGGTACACAGTATATGAAAACATCAAAATCAATAAGCAATTTCAATTAATCAATAAAGTTAAACAATCATTAAATGTAATTTGCATTTTTGTAAGAAATCCATACAATCTCAAATATCAAGCCTTTCTTAAGTAAAATACTAAATGGCTGGATGGCTGTCATTGTGGAGAAACAGAAGGAGTTTTATTTTAGGCAGACAAAAGGAAAAGAAGACACACTTACTAAGAATCACAGAAGGAATCTCACTTCCACGCCTAACAGAAGTCAGCACTGACCAAGTCCTGGGTTACCCCTTGCCCTCTGCAAGTACCACCTTGTCCGTGGGTAACAGTGTTCTGGGTGGGTGGGGGAGGAGGGATGAGCGGTCAGAATGTGGAACACTTCTGCCAGCCAACTCCAGCCTGCTACCAGGCAGGACACACATACCTACACACAACCTCCTGTCCTAGGTCTGCTAAAAAAAAGCTGGGAAGAAAAGGGCGAATGAAAGAGGAAAAATCACCTCTCCAAACATGCCCACGCTGGGGGCTGGGAGTGGGGGGCAGGGCACATTAACATTTCGACTTCCACACTAAAGAACACCAGGAGGTTAAGTGTAGCCACAGGAAACATCCCATCCCCGAAAACCAGGAAATCTAGATTTGGAAATTTAAGTTTTCGATTTCTTTTTCTTTTTTTTTTTTTTAACTTTCAAAACTCACGGCACCAAAATATAGCTAAAATTGGATCCGTTTAAACATAGAGAGAGAGGAAAAAAAAAACCCATACCCAAACCACACCGTGTCAGCTATGTTCTGTCCCCCGAGGACTCTTCCACAGACCCTTCTGAGTTGTGGCAATAACAAGTTTCCTTAAAATGCCCATTTTTCTATTTCTAGGGTTGAACCTAAGAGTATCACAGAAATCCAAATAGCTGTTATCAGAATAAATAAACGACTGATCCTTAAACTGCAGACTTTGTTTCAGGAGCTGCCCTGCCCACCTCCACTCCCTCCTCATTCTTAATGCTTCCCAGCAAGGTCCGTCCTGAGAACCTGGGTCTCCCTCTTGGGTCCCGTCCCCGCGCTTGTCTTCCCGGACATTGACCAAATAGGACAGGAAACTCCTCCATCTGGGGGCTGCTCGAGACATCCAGCCCCCTCTCACTGACAGGCTCCTCACCGCTCCCTACCTCTTTCCCTCAGCAAGGCTGTCCAGAAAAGGGGGCTCGAGACCCAAAGGAGCCAGGGATGGGAGGAGGGTGGGTGCTCAATCTGAACATAACACCCCCGGTTTCCGGGGTGAGGGCTAAAAAGCGATTAGGAAAGCCTGCCCCGTAGAAATACCACCTGAATTTACCTCCTCCCTTCCCACTGCAACAAGCCCAGTCACTAACTAATAAGCTAAGACAAATCCCTGGAAAACTTTTGCAAACGGGCCGAGCGGGCCCTCTCCCCAGCTGGGGGGCTCCCGGGGAAGGGGCTGGAGTCTGCAGCCCTGGAAGGGCTCGCCGGGGAGCGGGCGAGGGGTGCAGGGGCGGAGTACCTTCCACGGACAGGAACTGGCAAAGAGTTTCAAAATAGCCGAGTGCTCTCCCCCACGCCCTCGGGGGTCGCGAGCGCTAGGACCGGGGCTCCCCGAAAGGAGACCAGCCCCCAATTCGGGCCTAAAAGGAAACTTTCCGGGCCGCGGCTGCACCTGACTCTTCACCACCCCTTCACCCCACCCCACGCCCGCCAGGCCGCCCGCCCCGCCCCGGCCTGCCCGCCCGGAGCGCAGAGGAGGGGGAGAAATAAATTCAACTATTACCGGAATCGGGGGTGGGGGGCGTCGGCGAGAGAGCGGGGGAGGGGGGCGGCTGGGCGCCCATTCCCCGCTCCTAGGCCCTGACGCCCCGGTCCCGGCCGCCCGGGCCTGCCGCCCCGCGGGGGAGCCTTCCGGGACCCCGCGCAAGATTCGGCCCAGCAGCGCCGCCGTCCCGCCCGGAGGCCCCGGGAGACCCGAAGGGGCGCGGGGAGGCCCGGGGTGCGGGGGCAGGGCGCGGCCGCTGCGGCGCCCGCCGGCCCGAGGCCTAACCGGCGCCCCCACCCCCACCCCGGCCCGCGCAGGCCGCGCCGCTCGCCCCGCTCCGGCCCCGGCTGCACCCCCGCCCGGCGGCCTGCCGTCGTCAACCGTGGGCGCCCCCCAGGCCCCCGAGTCCCCAGCCCCCGCCACCTCGGCGCCGGCCCCTCTCACCCTTTCATTCTCTGCCCGGGGCCTGGCGCGAGCCGGCGAATCCCCGGCCTCACGTAAGCGCGCTCGCCGCCCGCCCTGCCTGCGCGGCCCAGCCCGCCGCCCTACGGGAGCCCGGGGATGTGGGCCGGGCCTGGGGCCGCCTCTGCTTACCTTTCAGCTGCTTTTTTTTTTTTCTCCTTCCCCCCTTTTCCCTCGGCTGGTCTGACAGATCAGAGTGAGAGGCGCTGGCAATGGACTAGGAAGCTCGGCCGCCGCTGCTACTGCTCCCCCCTGGGCTCCGGCGAGAGCCTTTCCCTGTCAAGCAAGAGGGGTGAGGATCATATTTTTATTTTGGAAACTAAAAAGTACTCCCAGGGTCGGTGATTATTAAGGGGAAATCCCTGAATATACTCTCCAGCCAAGAAGGCAGGGCTGCCGGAGCTGCACAAGAAGAGGCAGCAGCCTCCTACAGCACCACTACAGGCACTGCGAGGACATAACACCAGAGAGCAGCTCCTCTGCCCTCCGAAACGACAACTTTCCTACCATCTTGGAGGCAGAGGAAAGGGGGGCCGGGGGGAAAAGTGCACCCGCTCCCGGTAAAGTACAAATTTCGACTTCTCATCTCTGGAAAAAAGTCCACACCGGCCGTCTACACCGGCGCCTGGGGGAAAAAGCGGGGAAGAAACTGGGGGTGCTTGAGAAACGTTTGCATTTGCACCAGGGGGAAAAATGTTTCTGCATCTTCTGATGGCAAGAAATCTTTACAAGACACAGGTTTTCCGGTGATTATTGTTTTCTATTTTCTGTTTAATTTTTTCCATGTTCGTGAGAGTGGTGTTTGAATTTTTTTTCAGGCTAATAATGATTTTTTCTTTTTTCCGTTACAGATCTAAGTTCTGGGTCTGGTGGTCAGTTTATAAATTTGGACTTCAAGAGACTTCCTAGCCACTTTATTTGTCTACTTATTTATACGTTTTTGTATTGATATACAGAGAGATTTATATGTTTCCTCATGTATAAAAATTTGTGTTATATATTTCCCTCCAAACTGAGATTGCTGGAATACAGTTGTAAAGGGATGGCTTTTGTCTCCTTTTCTCAAAGCAATGTAAATAAAACCTATTGACTGTCCAGAAGGGCAAGATATAGCTGTTTATTTTTCACAGTGCAAATTAAGGCAGAGATCACTGGGGGCATAAATACAACTTAAGTATAACTGACCACCTTTATAGAAATAATCCTAATGCTGTTATGATCTGCCCATGAAGAAATGTTACTGTAAAACTGAAAACAAATTTTAAAGACAGCTTTAGATTTTCTCTAAGTACAATTGCTTATTTAGAATTATGTACAGGCATTTTATTTTAATTTAGATCCTTTAAGGTTTAGACCTTTGGTGCATTACATATGTTGCTGTCCACTTTCTGTGGCACAGAATTGAGAAATGTGTCTATTGTTGTTAGAGTTGAAATGCTCAGAATTTCTAATGTGCTGCCAAACTGTGTGAAGTGCTTTTAATATATTGCAATGGATGTCATGAATCTACTTTTTTCCAATAAGCAAAGCTTAGTAGATAGATGGGAACAAAGTCACACGGTACAGAGCTAACACAGAGGTGAGGGAGAGAAGGGTGCTGCCCACTTGCAGCAATTCCCATAGAACTCTTACTGGAGAAGAACAAATTGCAGAGATATTTTGCTGTTTTTATGAAGAAAGAAAAGAATACTAGAAAATGAACAAAAAGTCTTTTTGTATGTTCTACAGGGAATGATGAATCTTGTACAAAGAGTTATTTTTCTGATGCAGGTTGGCTGACATAGTGGGAATGAATTTGTAATAGTAGTGCCTTGCATCAGTAGAATATTTATTTTTAATTGGGGTATAGTTACTTTACAATGTTGTGTTTCTGCTGTACAGTGAAGTGAATCAGCTATGTGTATACCTATATCCCCTCTTTTTTGGCTTTCCTTCCCATTTAGGTCACCACAGAGCATTGAGTAGAGTTCCCTGTGTAGAGTTCTCATTAGTTATCTGTTTTATACATATTAGTGTATAAATGTCAATCCCAATCTCCCAGTTCATCCCACCCCACCCCCCTTACCCCTTTGGTGTCCATACGTTTGTTCTCTATGTCTGTGTCTCTATTTCTGCCTTGCAAACAGGTTCGTCTGTACCATTTTTCTAGATTCCACATGTATGCATTAATATACGATATTTGTTTTCCTCTTTCGACTTACTTCACTCTGTATGACAGTCTCTAGGTCCATCCAGGACTCTACAAATGACCCAATTTAGTTCCTTTTTATGGCTGAGTAATATTCCATTGTATGTATGTACCACGTCTTCTTTATCCATTCATCTGTCGATGGACTCAGTAGAATATTTAATTTCTTTCATTTAAAATTTATTACAAAGCATTTAGAAATAACTGATGACTCAGTTTAAAATGTTTTTTGAGCTTCCAAATTTAGAAATTCCCATAATGTTAAAATGAGTTCAGATAATGCATGTAACAGATATTTACTATTTTCATGCTGACCCCCACCTTTATCATCTATATTTGAATACAGTACCTGAATAGTCTGGGTTTTCTTTTGCAGTTTTTTTCCCTTACTCTTTGCTAGAAAAATCTAAAGTAATTAAAGTAAAATTAACTGATTCTTATCGTCTCAGAAACCTCAGTTATGAAGTTGTGTTCTATTTAGTTATTTTTTTAACGTTTGGAAATCAAACACTTCGGTCACAACAAGGAAATCCGTTCCCTTAATGAAGAAATCTAGTGGACTTGAAAAACGTGTTTTTGAGCAACTTGTTTCTTATATGTGACATGACATGACTTTGTAGATATGCTTTGAATTTTTCAAGAAATTAAGATGTGTTTGCCTGAAGCTGACTGCACCCTTTTATGCAATCCCTCTTGTGACCAACAGGCTTGTTTGTGTGATGTCCATCAGGGGATAGGGATATGGTGCATAATCTTAGCATTTCAACGTCTTTCTCTTTATAAAGCTTGACTTGTACAGGGCTGTGATCCATGATGTTTATCCACCAGCTGAGCTAAATAGCCCAGACTTGGGGAATTACAGCCCCAAGAAGAAGAAATCCTGCTAGGTTTGTAACATTGGTGAATTTGATTGGTCAGTGTTTATTTCACTTGATAATTGAACTCATTTCCGGTGTTATTTCTAATTCCTAGAAACTACAGGTGCTGACAAAACTACTGACATAATTAACCTTAAATAAACGTATTTTGCCCAATAAAATTCCCAATACTGTACTCAAATTTGGCTAACATTGAGCCCCTAATACATCTTGGTAACCTTGCTGGACACTTTTATGTATGTGCTCTGGTTTAATTCCCCCAAGGGCTCCAAAAAGTATTATTTTTCTTTCCCTTCTCCCCTCCTTCTCCTCCTTTCCACTTCTTTCTTCTTTTAAATACAGTTGGGATAATCGTCTTCAATTTCAAGGAATGTAGACGCTCTTGGCCCTAAGGCTTTCAATAAGATTCCAAATCCTTTAGCTCTGTAGTTTCTGAGGTGCCTTCCACAGCTCTATACGCTATATCTGGAAATGCTAAGTTTCTGCCATTTACTCTTTGCCAAAAACAAAACTGAGTAGACGGCAGCTGGAGCCCCTTCATTCACCAGTGGCAACCAGCGGCTTATTTCACCTTCATGAAGTCTAGTACCTAAGTCTGTCCATTGTTTTGAGACAAATATATATTTGTCGATTGAAATGCACTGTGTTTAAGAGAGATTTCCTTCCTGATCCTGAAAGGGAACAGTACATGTAATGCACTAGCATAATTAGAAATGTTACCTATGTTGTAAAGTTATGGTATTTTCTGAAAGACCTAGTCAGTGGATGTAGTGACCTGGAGCCATGAATGCCAGAGTTTTACCTATGTGATACTTAGAGCAGTAGTGTCTTTTATTTATTCTGTTATTATGCCTTAATTTCACCAGTAGCTTGTTTTGGCCTTTAGTTGAAATAGGAGACACTTGCCTTAATATTTTTACTATTATAAACTTTAATTGATCTGCCTTTTGGTATTAATGATTTTAATTTTGTAAAAATTGACCACCTTATTGTGAACACTATGGTGAAGAAAATACCACCTAGGGAATTCCCTGGTGGTCCAATGGTTAGGACTCCACACTCTCACTGGCAAGGGCCTAGGTTCAATCCCTGCTCCGGGAACTAAGATCCCACAAGCCGCAGGGTGTGGCCAAAAGAAAAGAAAAGAAAATACAACCTATATTCTTAAAAGAGCTCATTCACAGATTGTGTGGATTTAAAGTGAAAGATTTATGCATGTTTAATATATTAGATGTTTTTAAGCAATAAAGCCATGTCTTTATTGGCGAATGTTTTGCTGACAGGATCACCAAGTGTTTAAAAAGACACTGACAGCAGACATGATTATACAAATTTAGTGGGGGGGTTTGGGGAGAGTAGGGGCGTGATTATAAACCTTCCCTAATCACAGAAATGTTTTTTTCTAACATTTCTAAAGGC